AACCCTTTAAATGAGGACAGGCCAGGGGCACCTGGGTGGCTCAGTGGTTAAAGCCTCTGGCTTTGGTTCAGGTCATGATCTCAGAGTCCTGGGATCGAACCTTGCATCGGGCTCTCTGCTTAGCAGGGATCCTACCCCCCCACCCCCAGCTCTGCCTGCCTCTCTGCCTACTTGTGATCTTTGTCTGTCAAATAAATAAATAAAATCTTAAAAAAAAAAAAAGAGGACAGGCCAGTTATGTTGCAGAATGTCACTCAAACAGAGTTAATTTACCTGATGTTTGGGATTTTTTTTTTTTTTTTGCAGGAAAACCACATAAGTGATATTGTACCCTTCTCAGTGCCCCATATTAGGAGGCACCCAGTGTCAGTCAGTCCCATTATTGATAATATTAACTCTAATTACTTGGTGAATGTGGTATCTGCCAAGTTTCTCTACTATAAAGTTACTATTTTTTTCCTTTATAATTGACAAATAATTTCTTGGCAATTATTTCGAGACTATATAAATTTTTTATTCGTCATCAAACTTTCTAGTTTGGCATTGTTAATTCTTACTTGAGCCAACGACTCCTATGCTGCAAAAGAGTGGTTTTCTAAGTCCATCATTTCTTCTGTTATTAATTGGAGTGCTACAGGAAGGAGTTGTTTCCTTTCTTATCCAGTTAGCTAGCTAATCTTAATATGGGCTCATGCATTCCTATTTTATTCAGTGGTTTATAATCCATTACTCACATTATTTGCTTTGATTATAAGTCAAATTGCACTCAAATTGTACATCTTTGACATTTGGACATTTCTTCAAGTTGCTTCCCCTGCCTTTTTGATATATTCCCATCATTTTTGGACCACTTTATAAAAAAAAATGTTCTGGCCCACCAACATGTTCTTGACTCTCCTTATACTTTCCCCTGCCCCAGCCTTAGAATTGGCCATTTTTCCAAAATATCTGAGTTCTTTTTAGCGGGGAATGGTATCAGGAAATCAAGATCTGAGAGGCAGACCAAGACTTATATAAAATACAAAAATCAGTTTCTTTAGAAATAATGCACATAGGGGTGCCTGGGTGGCTCAGTGGTTTAACCTCTGCCTTCAGCTCAGGTCATGATCCCAGGGTTTTGGGATCGAGCCCCACATTGGGCTCTCTGCTCAGCAGGGAGCCTGCTTCCTTGTCTCTCTGCCTGCCTCTCTGCCTATTTGTGATCTCTATCTGTCAAATAAATAAATAAAATCTTAAAAAGAAATAATGCACATAGCAAAATCAAATGCAAATCTTCCCTGAGGGGGCCCACCTCATTCAAGCCCTCAAAAAAAAAAAAAAATCCCACAAATGAAATTTCAAGGTAAATTAGCATATAACTGTCAAAAACAACATGCATGGAAAAAAAAAGATACTATATGCGGAACCAAAAGAAACAATAAACAACATAAATAGACTTAGAGGGACTTTTGCTCTAGACATGTAAAAGTTTAGAGAGAAAATGATAAAACTACTAAAAGACATTAAGGACTAACCAAACAGATGAGAGATATACTGTGTTTAAAAATTGGAAAACAATATTACAAAGGTATTGGTTATCCTCAGAGTTCTATAATTTCAATGAAATTGAATTATAAATTCAAGGAGAAGGAGATGAAATAGGTGGGGACACTTGTCCTACCAGATATCAAATATCATTATAAAGCTATAGAAATTAATATGGTGGGACACTGGGGCAGGGACAGAGAAACTGACCCCCCAGTGGAACAGAATAGAGTAGAGAACCCAGACACAGACCTCTGCGTTTTGGAAACTTGATATATGAGAGATTTGGCATGGCAGATCACCGAAGAAACTGGGGTGAGACATTTGGTTGGCACGGACAAAAATCAATTTCCAGTATATGAAAGATTTAAAACGAAAGGAAAAACTTTACAACTTTTAAAAGAACGTATTGGAAAATATCATTCTGACCTCAAGGAGGGAAGAACTTTTTTAAACAAGAAACAAAAGCACTAACCATAAAAGAAAAGACTTGGTAAAGTCAACAATATTAAAATTAAGAACTTCTGTTCAAAAAGACAACATAAGGATATGAAAGCACAAGCCATGAACTGGGGAGGCTTCTTGCAACATACATAACTGATTAAAGGTTCATATTCAGAATGGAAGAACATACATTAATCAATCAATCAATCAATCAAGAAAGGGAGGGATGGAGGGAGACAGAGACAGAGAGACCAAAAGAAAATAAGCAAAAGACACACGTTCCTCATAGAAGAGAAACACAAATGGCAAATAATCCATGAAAAGGTGTCCAAGCTCATGAGTAATTAGGAAAATGTGAATTTAGATCACGACATGATACCATTCTACCCACTTGATTATAGAGTTGTTGCAGATAATGGATAAGGGGCTGAAACTCACGGCTGGTGCGTAAACTGTTACAACTACTTTGGAAAGCAACTCGGTACTATTTCAGGCAGTTGAACATTCATATACCCTGTGACACTGCAAATCCACTAAGTAGGTACTCTAGAGAAATTCTTAAATATGAGTACCGAGTATATTCATTAGAACAAAAGCAAACAAAATAAAAAACCAAGCTAACTAACTGAAATGTCCATCAACAGGGAATAAAGCATAGCTACATCAACATGAATGATCTTAGAAACATCTTGAGTGGAAAAAAGCAAGGCCCAGAAGGCTAAAAACAATATAATACCATTTTTACAAAAACTCAAATACAATATCTTTAGAACACATGAAAAAATGTAAAAATATGATTTATAGAAGGGGTCAAGGAATGACGATAAGAAAAAAATTCAGGGGAACCTGGGTGGCTCAGTGGGTTAAAGCCTCTGCCTTCCGCTCAGGTCATGATCTCAAGGTCCTGGGATCAAGCCCCGCATCGGGCTCTCTGCTCAGCAGGCAGCCTGCTTCCTCCTCTCTGTCTGCCTGCCTCTCTGCCTACTTGTGATCTCTCTCTCTCTCAAATAAATAAAATCTTCAAAAAAAAAAAATTCCCTGAAAAAAAGAAAGGAAGAAAGAAAGAAAGAAAAAAATTCAGGTTCAAAGCCAGTCTGGTGGAGGGGCATGTTCGTGGGAGAGGAGCCCACGGAAATATGACAGTGTGTTCTAGTTATGACACTGGGTAGTAGGTTCATGAAGTTCACTTATCATGCTTCTTAATCTACAACAGCTTCCTCAGTCTTGACACTGTTAACATCTGGGGCCGGATGAATTTTTGTTGTAGGGGAATGTCCTGTGCATCATAGAGACATCCTAGACCTCTACCCACTTGATGCCAGCAACACACCCCTTTTAGCTGTGACAATAAAATATGTCTCCAGGGAGACATTGCCAAATGTCCCTGGGGAGCAAAATTGGCCCTGGTTGAGAATCACTGATGTATATATATATATGGTATATATTTTTTCATGTGTGTATTTTGTTTTATTTTTAAGTAGGCTCCATCCCTGGTGTGGAGCCCAGTGCGGGGCTGGAACTCATGACGGGGAGATCAAGACCAGAGCTGAGATCAAGAGGCAGACACCTAGCCGACTGAGCCACCCAGGCGCCCCTATAGGGTCTATTTTTTGAATGCTTTCAATGCTCCATAATAAAACAAAGTTTAAAAGTGATGAGCAGAAGTTTTACTTTGTCTGTGAAGCACGACTAGGAAGTCATCATTAAGCTCTGAGAAAAACAGAGCCCGCCACAGGCCTTTGAAGTGACAGCGCCGAGCCGTGAGGGCTGACAGTTGCTGAAGGATTTTGACTAGCTGGTGATATTTCTAGAAATGGTACAGGGTATTGGGAAATCAAGGACTCCAGATCCACTGGAGGGATATTTCTGCAACCTTTCTCAATTCTTTGGCAAATCCCAAAGCTTAATTTAGCCTTTTAGAATACTATTTAATTTTTTAAAAAATCCGTTATTAATTTTTTTTTAAAACAAGGACTTTTGTTTATATAAGACTTCCTAAGGAACTGAAGGGTGTCCATATGTTTTGTTACCTTTGGAGGGGGTGGCTATGATTGTAAAGTCACCACACATTTCACTGTGGGCCCCAGATAACTGAGGTATTTCCAGAAATAAGATCTGATAGCATAACATTTGCTGCTTAGGATGATGAGTGATCCCACACTCACCGTAGCACCCCATTAATCCAAGAACCTCCCCAGTGATGTGGTTCTACTTGGGAACATCTATCTGACTCTCATGCTTACACTATGGCTCCTCTCATGGAGAGTTTATTATTTATCTCCATTTTTAAAATGGAGAAACACAGACACAAAGAAGATACATGCTTTTCAAGATAACATAATCTAGAGTAACTAATTATAAATAGAGTTGGTGCTAAAATCGTGTTTATTGAATCGTAGTCGGTGTGCCTTTTTCTCCAAGCTCGGAACTGAGCTTGTGTGAGCCTTAGTGTGTAGACATGTGTGTGTATATCTGTGGTCGGAGAGTTGGGTGTGTGTTTCTCTGAGGACAAGGGGGAAAGACGAAGGACTGAAGAGAAGAGCTAGGAAGAGAGGCACAGTAGAAAGAACATTGGGTTCGGAATATGCCTTGGGCCAGATCTCTCTGAGTCTCAGTTTTTTTTTGTTTTTTTTTTTTTTTTAAAGATTTTATTTATTTACTTGACAGAGAGACACAGCGAGAGAGAGAACACAAGCAGGGGGAGTGGGAGGAGAAGCAGGGTTCCCGCAGAGCAGGGAGCCTGATGTGAGACTCGATCCCAAGACCCCGGGATCATGACCTGAGCTGAAGGCAGACTCTTAATGACTGAGCCACCCAGGCGCCCCCCGAGTCTCAGTTTTTTTAACCATAAAAACTCACAAAATGATTGCAAAAGGTAAATGAGATATATATTTGAAAACACTTTCTGTTTCTGTATATAAATGTGATCGTCATTATTAGCATTATTATTTAAAATGCAATGCGGATGATAAAGGAATCCGCATGGGTAAAGTGACTCACATTTTCTTCATTTTCTTGGCACTAGCTCTTACCATATGTCCAGTTCAGAGGAATATTCAGTGGCTCCCAGCAAGGCATCAGGAGGCCGGTACCAGAGGGTCACAACTTCTGAAGAGTATGTCTGGCTGGGAATGGACTTTGCCCGAGCAAGACCTGACCAAAGAAGAAAAGCACAGAACTCACTGTCCTGGGACTTCCTGGAGAGCCAGGAATCGATGTATGCAACCAAGGAGTTAATAACTGGCAGAATAATCAACATTTAAAAAATAATACACAAACTCTGGGTGCTTTTAATAGAGTCACTCAACTATCTTGACCCTCGTGGACCTCATCAAGTGAATTTCTCAAAATTTGGCCTACAGGAAGGATGTAGCCTTCCTGGCAGGTAAGTATAGTGAGGTGACCAACTCCTTCCCTATATGCTATAAACAGAATGGATGTATGAGCTTTTGGATCATCCCCCTTTGGAGGGATTAAGGATTCTACCCTGTCCCTCTTCCTCCAAGCTTTAATGAGAAGGAGGTGGTGGCTATCTTAGGGAATATCCTAAGGATGGTGGGGCCTCGTGACAGAAGGGACATGGGTCAAGACTCCATGGGCCACCATACAAGCTCTGACTACTTAGGTTAGACTGTTACATGAGAGAAAGTTAAGCTGCTTTTTAAAAAAGTTTTATTTAAAAAAATATTTTATTTGTCAGAGTGAGAGATAGAGAGAGAAAGAGCACAAGCAGGGGGTAGCGGCAGGCAGAGGGAGAAGCAGACACCCTGCTGAGCAAGGACCCTGGGATCATGACCTGAGCCGAAGGCAGATGCCTACCAATTGAGCCACAGAGGAGTCCCAAGAAATTAAGCTTCTAACATGTTTACAACCTCTACTTTGGTGTCTCAGTCATAGCAACAGAACTCAATTCACAAGTAATATGATCGCCCTCCATTTTTGCAGTCCGGGAATCCCTAGTTTAGTAAATTGCAAGGGGGGACTGCTATACTCCAAATTAGTTTGGTAAGACCTTGGACATATCACTCTTAAATTTTCTTCTACAATATTAGAGTACTTCTTTTTTTTTTTTAAGAGGTGGGGAGGGGCAGTGAGAGAGGGAGAAAGAGAATTTTTTTTTAAAAGATTTTATTTATTTGCCAGAGATAGAGAGAGAGAGCACACACAAGCAGGCAGAGAAGCAGGCAGAGGCAGCGAGAGAAGCAGGCTCCCTGCCGAGCAAGGAGCCCGATGCGGGACTTGATCCCAGGACCTTGGGATCATGACCTGAGCCAAAGGCAGCGGCTTAACCAACTGAGCCACCCAGGTGTCCCAAGAAAGAGAATTTTAAGCAGGTTCCACGCCCAGCAGGGAGCCCAACATGGGGCTTGATCTCATGACCCTGAGATCGTGACCTGAGCCAATATCAAGAGTTGGATGCTTAACCAACTGAGCCACCCAGGAGCCCCTATTAGTACTTTTGTCAGTTAGCTACTCATCTCACAAAATCACATGATCTAGAGCTGGGGAAAGACCTCAGTAGATGAGTTCTCAATTGTGGGGAATTGAGAAATGAGGATCTGTTAAATGCTTACTTGTCCAGATGAAAGCTACTACATCAGAAAAAAGTCTTGCAGCTATAGCACAACCATTTGCTATCTGCCAAGCAAAGAAGAGTGGTTTCTCAGCTCCAATTTTTCAACAAATATTTCCTGAGCACCTACTGTGGTGTCTGGCCCTAGAGAGACGATGACAAGCAAGATGGACTCAAGCTGCCTTCCTAATGCTTACAGTCCAGTGGAAGAGACAAAATCATCACACAAATATACGTGTGTATAATTATAAACTGTGGTAAGTGCTAGAATGGAAAGATACAGTGATACTCCAGGGAAATCCATGTCACTCTGATGGGACAAAAACCTCAGGTAATCCTACAAAGACAGCTCTATTGATAGGTGTGCAGGAGCAAATGCCCTGGGGTCTCTATTCCAGCAGGAGGCCATCCTATAATCTGGGGTTTACATCTTTATCCTGTCATAATGGGATAACCTGGATCTATTCTGACAGAATTTTTCTTTCCGCTCACATGTAGGAAAACCTTCTAGGAACAGTTCACTTACACACGTCTCTCTATAAAAAATGGCCATGGGGCTCTAGAGGAGCCCAAATTTTTGGATCTGGTTAGGCTGGAGCTTTATGGAATTCTAGATGCTACCCAGCTTGTCCTGTTTCTTGCCTCACACTTCCTCTAGGGTAGTTTGACATCCTCCCAAAGCATCACGTTCCATGGGCCTCCACTTTTCAAGGGCCAGGCCCCGTCAATGCTTTAAACATGTGCACACAAAAGCATCATTGTTCGTAGCCCAGAAGGAGACTCGAGGGGAGACTTACCAAAATCAGCCAGTTTGAGCTCTCCCAGGTGACTGATGAGTAAGTTCTGAGGTTTCAGGTCCCTGTGAAGAACGTGTTGGTGGTGGATGTACGCCAGGCCCCGCAAAAGTTGAAACATGAAAAGCTGGAAGGAATGAACACCTTATCTAAGCAGATTTGAGCCACTATGTGTTGATTTCCTCTCTAAATCAAAACCAGTCCTCTGAAAGAATATAGTAAAAGTGTCTCTTGAGAAACAAAAAAATATGAAGATTTTACATTCAGGGGATGGGGGGGGCGCGGAGACAAGGAAAGTCAAGTAAGCAGACCATGTCCTAAACAAAAGGATTCTGCCTTTTCCTGACATCTCATTTCTTTGATACTGGAGGAATTACCCTTCCTTAAAAATCTAAAGGGAAACTTTGAAGTTTCCTTTGGAACACTAGTTATTGATTTAGTTGTGAAAGATTTAATTTTTTTTTTTCCCACCGATGAACTTGGCATATAAGATCAAAGTTGACCTGGAAATGATATTCTAAGGTTTACAACTGCTTGAGTTTTCCAAGCTCTCTGATATGAAACCCTTTTAAAAACATAACACAAGGAGACCAGACTGGGAAATAGATCTTTAGAGGGTAGTAGGAAATAAAGGAACCATTATCTTTTTAAACCTATTTTTAAAGTCTGAAGTCCAAAGTTGAAAACAAGCTATAATACAGCCATTTGATTAAGAGGGAAGAGAGACTCCCCAAAATTAGACCAAAAAAAAAAAAAAAAGTCTGAAAATAATAAGGAATAAATAGTAGAGAGAAGAAAGAAGAGGGAAAAATACAATGTGGGCCCAAATTTTTAAATGTTGCATGTGGTAAAGAAGGCATAGAAACCGAAAACATGGGGCGCCTGGGTGGCTCAGTGGGTTAAGCCTCTGCCTTCGGCTCAGGTCATGATCTCAGGGTCCTGGGATCGAGTCCCACATCAGCCTCTCTGCTCAGCGGGGAGCCTGCTTCCTCCTCTCTCTCTCTGCCTGCCTGTCTACCTACTTGTGATCTCTCTCTGTCAAATAAATAAATAAAATCTTTAAAAAAAAAAAAAAAAGAAACCGAAAACATCTCTAGGTTCTCCCCAGTATGGAAGCTGAAGGAAAAAAAAGAATGCTTAGGATCCCAATGTCTTTTGCTCTTTTCCAGTGCCACTGGCAATTGAGAATTGAAACACCAACTTTAGTGTTTACAAAGACCTCTGCCAACTGAGAACATGTTCTGACAATTTAGAAGAGAAAAGCCTGGCTCCAGCATTCCTGGAGAGGCAGACAAAGTAGCCGATGCAAAGCTGTGCAAATAGATCCACTTTTCCCATCACATCCTGGAAATTAGGAACTTCAGGGACGCTGGGACCTGTACTGGCCTAACAATGAGTAGGAGATATTGTAGCCAAGCTGAAGGGAGTGTGGTCTGACCAGAGCACGAGTCTGGGGGCCGTGGACTTCCATGCAGGTCTCACCTCAGGCTCACAAGCCATTTAAGGACGTGAAAGTTTTCTTTCAACTCCTACTTCAAATGCTCACTGGTTCTATGAGTTTCCCCAGTGCTTTCCCATATTGGTGCTTTGCACACATACACTATCCGTTTTCCCATTCATCAAACCACGAAGTTACCAAAATACGAAATTCCTATGCCAACACTTAAACCTTCCAATCAGCTATAAATACAAATATTTCTGGAAAAGACAATATGAAGGACCAATGAAAAATGCAGGAAAAAGAGAAGATGCTACCTTGTGTGCTCACAGATAATGCCTTTCAATGTGAGAACACCAAGGAAGGAGAGAGCTTGAGACAATAAAGGGACAGAGACAGAAGGGAGGAAGGGAAAACAACATTTATTGCGCACTTAGCACCTTTTAGAATCCTCAAAGTAACCCCGTGAGGGAGATAAGCTGGTCCTCGATTTGCAGATAAGAAAAATAGGGCTCAAGGAAACTTTAAAAACATGTCAAGAAACAGTCAGGGCCAAAACTCAAACTCAGACCTGCCTAACTCCTCTACGCCATTCTGAGAAACCAGAGAAAAGCAAATTAAAAAATGACAGGGAAAGGGAGCATCAGCAGGCTGAGTCAGAGGCAGAACTTGTGCGTGGGCCAGCCTGCAATGCTTTTCATGGTGGAGTGCAGACTGCTCTCACTAAGGAGTCATCCGCACCTCCCACCTCCTCGCTCTCAGGCCCCTTTCCTCCCCGGCTCCTCATGGATGTCCGTCAGCATTCCTACACGGTAACGCGCAGCATTAATGTATGGGATTTTATAGCTGCGCTTCTTAAAACTTTAAGTCTGCCCTGATTAACCTCCCTCTTGAATCCTTTGCAACCTGGATCCTTCCCTCACACTGGCCCAAGCTTCTCCGATAACACAACCCAACCCAACCCAACCCAATGGTGTTAGTTCTTAGTCAGTGTCAAGCCAGCTTGTGGGTGATGCTTTCCAGAGCGGCTTCCCAGACCCCAGGGATGAGAGTCCTGTTTTCAACACAGCGAGGCTCTTGGGAACAAAATCATTTCACCGGGCTAGTGCTATCTGGGCCAGAGTGAGCATTTTCTCTGCTGTGTCTGCTAGGGGACACTCATCTGCAGCCCCACTTGCTTTGATTGGAAAACCATATACCCCTGATAAGTCCCTCTGTTAAGCAGCGTAGCCCTCACAAAGCCACAAAGTGGTCAAGTCTGACTGCAGTCATGTACGGTTTTCAACTGTATTCCTGGAGCTAGTGACCGTCTTGACCATCCATGCCTTCTCTGAAATTGGCTCTCGCCTTGACTTTCAAGAGAGTGTACTTTCCTGGATCTTCTACAGTCTGAAAAGCTGCTTCCTTTTGTCTCCTGTTGTCCTGTTCCTCCTTTAACCCCTAAAGGAAAGAGTTCTATAATCAGTTCTTTTATCTTGGTGTATTTGATCTTTGGGTTATCTACTCTCTTGTCTTGAACTACAAACTCCAAGCGCCAATTTCCCCCAAGTCTACATCTCCAGCATATAGCTTCCTCCTGGGCACTGTCTACTGCTCATTTCCCTTTAGATTTCCACCTCGATTAGAAGTTCACCCTGTCTACAACAGGACTCTTCCTCCTCCTCTCCAAATCAACTTCTTCCATTTCTGTTACTAGATCTATAATTCTTCTGGTCAATCAAGGAGATTATGCTAGAGATCTGGAATGTGAGGCCTCACCCTTGACTTCCTGAATCAGATGCCCAGGTCATTCGTCCGCTCACTGAAGTTTGAGAAGCCCTGGGCTGGCCCACATCAGTCACATCAGTCCTGGACCCCAGTTACATAAATTTCCTTCTGATCATGTCATTCTCTCTCAACTTTAAGTCCCTTTAATGACCCTACCATCTAAGAAATAGAGTCCACATCTTAGAAAATAAGGCTCTCAGCCACCTACCCCATCTATTTTTCCAGGCCTATGTACCCTGATCTCACTAATAAATTCTCTATGTCAGGCCAACAGCACCAGAGATGCAGTATGGGCACTAGTGGAAAAGGACCTTCAGCAAGAATCACGGTTAGCAAAGGCAAAAGCTGTTTCTGTAACCCCAGGCAAAATACTTGGCTTCTTAACTTTAGATTCTGATTCTGCAAAATAAGGAAGTTAGACCAGCCCAATGTTTTTAAGGTTTTTTTTTTCCTGCTGCAACTTACAATAAGAAACACATATGTATCCTGTATTCGTACAGAGGTACAAGTACAGCTTCAGCAGGAGCTGAAACACAAAATAGTGCTTATTCTTACTATGTGTAACGTACTCTAATATTTTCTATTCTCTTCTCCTCTATTCTATTTAATTTTTTAAAATGCTAGTTGCTGATCACCAAATTGATTTCATAACCCACAAACGGGTCAGAACGTGAAGGCTGAAAAGCACTGTGGTTCCTCCAACCCTAATGGTCCACAACTCCGGGATCCTCATCCTTCAACACATCCCATACTGCTCTGCTCGGCGCTTCTGCGTCTCTGCCCTGTCCCTTTGCTGAAAACATTCCTTCCTCCTCCAACATCTTCCCCTATCCCAGCTTCTTGAAATGCAATGCATCTTTTAACATTTGGCTTCATAAAAGCTCTTAAAATGCGAAGACATCTATCTACACTAGGTCTTATTTCTATTTTGGTCTCATTTCTTACTTGGTGTTATTCACAATTCACAAATGTCCTGTCATAGGATCGGTGCCTATTTCCCATCTCTTGATTTTGGTTGTAAGGCCCTTGAGGGGGTAGAAATCATGTCTTCTATGTCTCTTTATCCTTCTAAGCCTTTAGCAGAGTGCCAGGGATGAGAGTCACTCAAGCCTGAAAATGTTCTTTCTCGGTTATCCTTTCTCCAAGTGTCCATCAACTTAATCAATACCCCTGGTTCCTTGACTCTTCTGCTCTCTCCCTAGCTACCAGCAACCTGCTTAGCCTCACTTCCTTCCTTCAGGTTCGACTCAGCTCAGAAGCCTGACCATCATTTTAACCTCTCTCTTGACAATCTGCTCAAATCTCTTGCCCAACTGTCTTTTTCTTTTCACATGTCTGGCAAAATCCCAACACTGAATCAATCCAACTGTCTACTTTTTTGATTCCTCTATCTGAATTGGTCAGCACTGTCATTAAAAAGGAAATCCCAGGATCATGCAGATAATTTAATGGTTTCCATTCTCACCAAGAGTCTTCAACCCACTACTGGACATTCTTTTTTGGTTGGCCTACTTAGGGCTCTATCCCATCTCCACTAGCTATTTTTAAATGTTTTCACTTTCCTCAACCCTCAAACCTTCTTTTTCCCCTTGCTTCCAAGACTGGAGTAGGTCCCCTTACTCTGAGTTCTCACCGTATTTCTAGTTAACATGGCTGTAGCCATTTAGGCTAAGCCATGCTTCTTACTACCTGTTTAAGTCCATATATCTTACTGGGCTTTAAGCTTATTGAAAATAAGAAACACAACTTATTCATTAGTGAAGCCTCAGAACTTAATATAATACCAAGTACTCAATCATTCTTGAATGAATAAATGAATAAAAGAACATAAATATTAATTAAATGAATGAGTACATCATATAGAAATTTCATATAGATTATATCAAGGACCAATTAATGCCAATAAAAATCTTAGGGAATGGAAAGTATGAAATGAAATGGTTTCTAAAATTTACAGCAGACATAGAATTATAGAGAGTTAAGAGTTTATTATTATTTCTATTCCAGTGACTGGGAAATGGAACTTGGTCCCATTTATAACACGAGTGGATAGAACAGGCAAACAGGTAACTGATTTTGACCTAACGGGGGTACTTTGTTTGCTGATTCTGATGGGGAGCTGTAAATATATCACAAACTTTATCACAGACCACAGTAGTCTGCCATGAAGAATGTATTTATTTTATGATGGCTTAGTTCCACTTCCTTCCTTTGAATGCAATTCTCTTTAATTGATCTGTACTTCTGAAGACACATTTGCATTGATGGCGATGACCGACAAGTTTAGGCTGCTTGGAAAATGGCTAGACATTGCTCTATATCTTAAGGGGGGACTTTTTTTTCTTTTTAAGATTTTATTTACTTATTTTGAGAGAGAGAGCTCACGAGAATGCACATATGACCGGGGGTGGGGTGGGGAGGGGCAGAGGCAGAGAGAGAGAATCTCCCTCAAGCAGACTCCCCATGGAACCCTGGAGCCTGACAGGGGGCTCCATCACCACAACCGTGAGACCATGACCTGAGCAGAAATCAAGAGTTGGATGCTTAACTGACTGAGGCACCCAGGCGCCCCAAGGGGGATCTTTTTTCTAAAACGTTTCTCTAGAATATCAATGATAGGCACCTTATTTAATATCATGGGATTTTACTCTGTGATGACAGTCTGTTTCAAAATTCTTCCGCTGAGGGCAAGCTGGGGAGGAGTCCTGCCTCTCAAAGTACTCACCCTGACATTGTGAGGATGAAGCCCTCCTGGGTGCTGAGACATGTACTGGGCCAGGTCTGTGTGCTACACGGGAGGATGGAGAGAATGATGTTAGCAGAGCTTAAACAGTGTCCTAACACAGACCACAGACGTGGCTGTCAGATACAAGCTTCAGAATTTTCGAGAATAAGGTACAAAAGATACATAACCAGCTTTCCTGAGACCTCACTATCAGTGTGTCTTTCTAAATGGCTGTCCTAGGAAGGAAGCTTGTTTCTCATCACAACAATATGTTCATTTTAAATGACCGCCACTGAGCACAGCGATACAGGCGTTGTTCACTCCCCTTGGAGTCCAGTCAAGTACACATGCCTCAGGATTTCTTCCTGCTAATATTTTGAATTTTTTTTCCTTTCAAAAATATGAAAGTGAGTTATTATTTAGTAAACTTGTATACAATTTTTTTTTAAAAAACCTTGCGATTTATGTCTTTGTTGTCAATGAAAAAAAATGCGGGGTTCTGCTCAGATGGTGATTAAAAATAGATAAAAAATAAGCACAAAAGTTTTCTTTAGGAGGCAAACTCACCATGCTTATTTATTATTGCCAGCAAGTGGGGGGAAAAGACAGTAAATTCAGTGGGTAAAGAAGCAGGGCCAAAGGAGTCTAAGAACAATAGGGCCTAGTAATCATAATAATGAAAATTTCCATGACACCTTCCACATTGTAATGAAAGTTTTATCATGCCATAAAATATTAACAGATTCATTATACGAGCACCAGGCTTTTCCCTTACGCTTTATAAAATGCTGGGGCAACTTACCATGTATTCAAAAACGAATGTCAGAGTCTCTCTCGTGTGGATGATGTCATGTAGGAGCACAATATTGGCATGTTTCAAACCCTTCAAGAGAGAAGCTGGAGAAATTAAACAAAATGTTAATTCAATCATTGATAATGAAAGTACTGCTTTAAAGATACCAAGCAGTATTTATTTTTTAAATGCTTCAAATCAACCATTCTGGTTTTTTGTTGCTTGGGGGAAAAAAAACCTTCGTGAAATAATATTTGAAATTGCAAAGGACCTTCGTTATTTGTCAAATGGCAAGTCACTGCATTTATATAACTTATTTTTCTTACAGGCTAGAGCAGTTGCAAAAAAAAAAAAATGTTTCCATTTATCTAATCAATTTCATCAAAGCACTCAGAGCACTTTGCAAATGCTTCCCTCTGGGAATCTTATCTCCACTTTAGAGTTACAGGAGAGGAGGTCCAGAGAGATAAAGGCCATTGCAGGAGCAGGAAATGGAGTGTTCTGCCTTCTAGAGTAGGACTTTGCAACATGTGACCATTCTCTAAAATTCAAAGTGTCTCAGAGGGTCAGCAGGGCCAGTGGATGTGATTATTGGAAGGCAGGGATAAGAGTATGGGATGCAGAATTGTTGAAAGATGGTAGAGAGTGGAGAGGATTTCTTAGAGGGAGAATTGCAAATCTCTGTGGAAAAGGAGAAAATGCAAACTGGAAAAGAGGACAGAGCCAAAAATTGGAGAATCCCGAAGAGTGTGAGTGGGGAGGTCTGAGGACTGTCTCTTGCATCTTTTTTTTTTTTTTTTTTTAAAGATTTTATTTATTTATTTGACAGAGATCACAAGTAGGCGGAGAGGCAGGCAGAGGGAGGGGAAGGGAAGCAGGCTCCTTGCTGAGCAGAGAGCCGGATGAGGGGCTCTATCCCAGGACCCTGGGATCATGACCTGAGCCGAAGGCAGAGGCTTTAACCCACTGAGCCACCCAGGCACCTGTCATGCATCTTTATTAACACATTATTATCAGGTCACTAAAGGCAGCTTTAAAAGGGAGGAGTCACCGCAAAGGCCAGTGAGTGGCTGGGAAGGAGTCTGAAAGGCTGTCATTGGGGGTTTCAGGGATAGGAAGACCCCCCAGCTTCACAAGGGCAGAGGCCAGCAAAGGCATAATAAGGAGATGGCAAGTCTCAGCTCAGGACATCTCTGCACGAGTAAACAGCGTCCTTAAGACTTAGCGGAAAGGGAAAGTTAAGTATAAGCCCTCCAATCTGGGTTCTGTCCGACAGGCTTGTGTGTCATGAGTCACCTACACCAATTCTTTGCCAGAATTCCATAAGATCAAAACCAAGCTCAAGTACTACCTTCGAACTTTGGAACAAATGACTTCTTTCAGGAATCTTACACTGGTGTAAGGATCCTCTGTTGTTTTGCCCTCCTGAGAGCCATTTTCCTTTCTAGTGGGGACACCTCTGCTTTCCTGTGGGGAACCAACCCTCTACTCACTCAGTCCACACCTATTCTGGTTCGGCTGACCCTGCCGTCACCCCAGACTGAATGTGTCACCACAGCGATCTCGTTCAGAGACTAGGCACAAGACCGTATTTTGTGGGGGCCATCCAGAAAGAGGTGCTTTCTTTTCCATTGTGAAAGGAAGGTTGAGCTTGTAGGATTTCACCAGGGGCTGCTCTGGCCACATTACCAACACCTGGTGAGAGCCTGTCTGGGACTGAAACTAAGACAGAGAAAAACTGAGGACGGAGAGGCATGGATTCCTGGGGACGTCATCTACGCCCTGCCAGCCCAGAGTTACCAGAACTATCAGCCAGTGAATTTCCTTCTTTGCTTAACATCAGTTTGAACTGGGAGCCACGAATCATCAAAGGAGCCCTATCACACCGGCTCACACTACTTTGATGACTAATACTCTAACTTTACGTTTTGCCCCCTGAATCCTTATGAGCTAAATTTATTATTCCACTTTTACAAATATGTTACTTGGTAAATGTAGTCAACGGCTTCACAGGCATCTGTTTAATGTCCCTGGCCCCAGACTGAAGGGTGCGTGGGAATAGAGCGAGTGACTTTCCCTCTCTTCTGGATGCCGCCGCATCACCTAGTACAATCCTCAGCCAAGAGTAAGCACTTAATTTGTCAAATATATTTATTAAATGTCTTCACAGAGAACGGACTGTGGAGCCAGAGGCCCTAATGTGAATCCTGATCCCACCACTTTCTATCCGAGTGAGCTCAGGAGCGTATCTCAACCCATCTCCATTCACTCCTTCTGAAAAGGAGATAATGCCTTTTCTGACTTGACTTCACGGGGTTAATGAGAGGATGGAATCAGATATTATGCGACGAACCCTTGAAAAATGGAAAGCCTCACACGGTTGCAAATTAGAATTAATACCCCAGCCATCAGCTTCCTGCCCTCCCCTTTAACCTTGAACGCACTAACTCCCCACTCCCAGATTAATATCTTTAAATTCTTTTTTTTTAAAGATTTTATTTATTTATTTGACAGTGAGAGATAACAAGTAGGCAGACAGGCAGGCAGAGAGAGAGAGAGAGAGAGAGAGAGAGAGAAGCAGCTCCCTGCCGAGCAGAGAGCCCGATGCAGGACTCGATCCCAGGACCCCGAGATCATGACCTGAGCCGAAGGCAGCAGCTTAACCCACTGAGCCACCCAGGCGCCCCAATATCTTTAAATTCTGTTTATATTTTGTTCCTGCTAGAGTTTTCAGCACCTTCCATATTTATAATAATGACGTCTGACCATCAGTTGAGAATGCTATTTTGTGTATATTTTTATTTATGAATTACATTCATTTTCTCTCCCTGTACAAAGAGACACAGGCACACACACACATGCATGCATTACAAAGCACACACCCAAACTAGATTTTAAAGGATATGGTAAAGCTATAATTGCTAAGAATATTATTAAGATGTTTTATTTTTAATATAATTTTATTCCTTTTTAAAAAAAGATTTTATTTCTTTATTTGACAGACAGAGATCACAAGTAGACAGAGAGGCAGGCAGAGAGAGAGAGGGGGAAGCAAGCTCCCTGCTGAGCAGAGAGCCCAATGTGGGGCTCGATCCTAGGACCCTGGGATCATGACCTGAGCTGAAGGCAGAGGCTTTAACCCACTGAGCCACCCAGGCACCCCAATATAATTTTATTCTCACTTAAATTTGATATTACTAAAACTCATGATGCCTAGGTTTTTTCTTTTAAAGATTTATTTATGTATTTGAGAGAGAGTTGGGGGGGGTAGGGACAGAAGGAGAGGGAGAGAGAGAGAGAACCTCAAGCAGACCCTCCCCCCCCTGCTGATTGCATAGCCAGAAGTGGGGCTCGATCTCAACACCCTGAGATCATGACAGGAGCCAAAACTGAGTCAGACCCTTAACTGACTGAGCCACTCAGGCGCCCCTTGTGATGCTTATTTTTAAAATCTTGGTGGCATGTTTTCTTAACCATGATGGCTTCATACTATCATTTGCCAAAAAGCTCAAGGAACAACATCTCCTTAGGATGAGGCTCTCTGCTAACAGTGGGTATAAATATTTTACATAGTTTTCTTGGTAATCTCTATTTTATGGGGGTAGGAAAAGTATCAGTTTTAACATTCCTCTATTGTGCGCTCATATTTATATTATTAGTCTAATCTTCAATTCACAATTTCTTTGCAGATACCTTTTTAAACTTCTCTCAACTCTTTCTCACACTTAATCCAATTCAACAAATCTGTTGGCAATACATTCAAAACATGTCCAGAATCCTTTCTTTCTTGCCATTTCTCTGCTACCAGCCAGGGCCAAGCCATCATCCTATCTTGACGGAATTAGCGCACATCCCTTCTAGCTGGTTTCTCTCCCTGCATCCTCCCTCCCTTCCTGTGGTCTGTTGGGCACAGATCAGCCAGCCACTGGGATCTCCTCAGCTGGAAGTCTCTCTTGCTTCCAAACTCTCCAGTGGTCTCTCATCTCACTCAGAGTAAGATCCAAAGGACTCACAGTGGCCTGTCGAGTCCACATTACCTCCTTTTGCCCTCATCAACTCACACTCCATTCCTTGCTCACTTGGCTCTAGCACGAGGGCCCCGTAGCTCTTCCTTGGACACTTCCAAACACAACTCCTCCCTGAGTCTTGCACTTGTCTTTGTCTCTGCCTATAGCCCTCTTATCTCATTCCCTGCATGTTTTCTCCCTCACTTCCTTCAGGTCTCTGTTCAAACCTCACACATGTGAAGTCCGGGCTTCCATGACCCTTCTCAATGAAATAGAAGCTCCCCCACCCCTGACCTACGCTAATGAGTCTCTGTCCCTGGGCCCTGTTTTTATTCTTCCCCGTAGCACTTACCACTTATTACCTCTAACATTGTATATATTTATTTGTTAATATTCTATCTCCACCCTTAAGAACATAAACTCCACTGGAAGCAGAGATTTCTGCCTTTTTTTGCTTATTGCTACATCTCTAGGGATGTAGAATTTTACATAGTGTCACTAATCACCTAATATCATTTCTATACCTATAACTGGTTGGCATAGGGTGTTTCTGTGAGAGACGCTTTCTTTTCGTTGTCTTCCTCATTATGTTATAAACGTTGTGAGTGTTATAGCCATGCCTATGAGTGCTTTTTGAACACTCCATAACTACCGAAATACTTATATGGAAACCGTGACTTGGGATGAGTAATAATGGGAAGTTTACAAGAAAGAGTAGATGGTGTTTAAAGCATTTATCTCATGGTAATGGTTTATCACCAGGTCCATCTACCAAAGGGATCTCAAATGGTTTCAGCCTCAGATGTGTGGGTCTTGATGCCAAGATGAAAAGGTCTTTCTTCTCATTTCAAGGCTGCCTCATAAACACTAGGCTATAGTGTGTTCTGCAGACTAACAAGCTGAAGGATACAAAAGCCGACTGAGAAGGGGAAAGACCCTAAAATCAAAACATTCTGCTTCCTGTAAGATTATTGTCTTTATAATTCACATGTTCTAAGTATACCTATTTTTGCTTTTCTTCAAAGAAAAGATGCACAGATAAATTGGGGAGTCTCCAAAGCTCCAGACAAGTGGGATCACAATGGAATTTCTTTGAG